TTTTGCTTTGAATAGTAGTTGGCCTGAGTTTTCCCGTTAAGTTGGGCCATTGGGAATTGCTTTGGTCGTTGAAAATTGCGTATACGCAGAGGCTGCCAAGTGGAATGCTCTTAAGAGCTGCAACAACTATCAAGCTTTCAGCTAGGAATAAGTGTTGCTTGTTAAATGACATCGTTTTTCATTTGTACAGCATTTTATATGTACACGTTATATGTGGAAGACCGATTCATGTGGCAGCCGAGTAACCGACTAAAAGTACTACAGGAAATTGAATGTTAAGACCGACACGTACAAAATAAATGCAGCATTTGGTACAAACTCACACATTGAAACACTGATTGTGGGTTACAGATACTGAAATATACACGCACGCACACATAGATGCTGCATAAATCTATCTTAGAGATTTATGGCGCACCAGAGCAACGTTAATAGGCAAATGAGAGGGAATGAGAATGGGGCAAGTATATATATACATACGTGTGTGTGCCTGTATGTGTGTAGACCAACAGAATGGCTAACAGAACGGCATACGTATGGCCAACTTGTGAAATGGTAATAAAACTTTTTATGCGCATTTATAGACGTTTTTATGCCTGCGACCAGGTTGTCCTCAAAATGAATTATGAAATATTTGGGCAATGCGAATCGAATGCGAATCGAGTAAAGCAACTCTCGCCGGCTGGCATTAATCATGGCCAAGTCGGTAAAAGGACATGGCCAAAGCTATCTGCACATAGATAAATAAATAATCGCAACTCAAAAAACCTGTGGCCTGGGCCATAAAATTGAGTTATTAAAATAACCAGCGACAGGTGCAGAGTCGACGAGCGACAGCTAGAGAGAGAGAGAGAGAGAGAGTTTAGCAAAAGGTTAAGCTATTGGCCAAGTAGCAATCAGCGCGTTTTCTGCTAGAGAATGCAGGTCAATTGCAGACTGTTCGTATTTTCATAGCAGCGAACAAATATTACCAATGTTTACATACATGGCACAAAAGCGTGCCAAGTGGAGCAGTGGAGCAGCAGCAACAATGGTGAATTAGTTAACTGACATGCAGGAGAGCGCGAAATTGCAACAGCAAAACAATTACAGCTGCCAGCTGAACGTTGCCCCAATTACGAATGCACATCAAGAAGAAGGAGGCACTTGGCCTGGTCCAGACCCAACCATCTGTTTGGGGCAGCCAGGCGTCTATCTAGCGCTGTCTCGCTTGTTGCCTTGCCTTGTCGAATATCTTTCGCACAAATGTTGAGAAAGCGCGATAACATTTTAACACACAACGCAAATTTCATTCAGACACAAACTCACACAGACGCATACTTATACATGCTGGCATGTTGCAGCCAGGCTGCGGAGTTCTCATGTGCTTCATGCGCTGAAGGCTTTATCAAAAACAACAACAGCACATGGCAGCTGCTGCTGGGCAAAAGCACAATATGACCCTTTGGTGTGCACTATTGGGATAAGATATACGAAATGAAATTCCAGTTCATTTCGGCAGCCTGATAAAGCCCTTAAGTGCTATTGTTGATAGCACTTGCAGCTGTTAGCGAAGAGTGGCCGCTGTTAAACCACTCCATATGAACTAGCTGCCAAATCAATTGCCAGGCTTTCCACATTGAACCAACAACCTACCATAACTATCGTCGCATGTGAAAGACAGCGCATCCTTAACTGGCTACTTGCCCAGACATCTACATAGAAATCCATATGAGAGAAAAACCTTTGGAGCCATGGACGGGTTGACCCATTTTTAACATTCCACTGCGCCACAGTGCCAATAAATTAGCATATAAGAGCAGACAGGTAAGGGGCCAAAAAATATAAATAAGAGAATAAAAAGAGAAGGCGAAAACATGAAATCTGCACATAAAAGGATTTGCCACAAATAAAAACATAAACAGGCACAAGTTAACAGAGTGCGACTATGAAAAGCCCTGCTTGATATAAATTTTTCTATTTGAAATTATCAGTTGAATAACATCCTGGAAGTAGGCCACATTTTTTAGCTCATATATTTTCTATTAAATATTCCAAAATAATTTTCTTACAAATTTAAAGGCAAATTTATTTTCACATAGTTTTACTCATGAATCTTTAATGTTATCATAAAATGTTCTGATAATATCTCGAAGCTTTTCCAGCTGCTGCACTCCGCGCACAGTCAGCAAATAAGCATTCGGTTACACTCTTTACAGCTGTAGGGTATAAAAATGTAAAATTTATTTAATTCGAAATATTCGTGGTGTGTTTCTTTGTGCCTTTTTATGATGCATATACAATTTGCCAAAAGGATTTGCTTGTGGAAAATCCACGATGCATGCATACAAAATACGGCAAACGCAAAAAACAACAGCAGGCAGCTGCCAGCTTTGATAAACCGAATATAAAATACCCTTGGCACATCAACCTATAAGGATAGGGAATATATTGGTTATTTTTTATTACTATTGGTATTATTCGTCCTGATATTCAATTCACAGAATATTTTATTGATTGGCAGTTGCCTAATTAAATTGTGTCTTACCTATCAGTCCCATTCATAGGATATGAAAGGTGTACCCTTATTTGAGTGTGCAGCAAAATCAACTGAGCACACACTCAAACACACACATCGTGGAAAAGTAAAAAAGTAAGTAAAAACACAACCAGTCAACGAACAGCGAAATTTACAAATAACTTAACAATTTGCTTTTGGCCCTGTTGACGTGGCCCAAAGGGGCCAAGGGTGAAGGGCGAGCATGCGAAGTCATCACGACGATGACAACAACAAAAACAAAAAAAACAACAATAACAACAAAAACAATATCAGGAACAACATCATCGAGCAGCAACTGCTGGTGAAAGTTAAGGCCAATCATTGCAACAATGCCAAGCCAGTGACAACAACAATTGCTAACAGAGACATGAATTTCAATACAAAATGTGTATGTATGTAGTTGCCCCATGTGGCAGCAATCCGATGATGAGGATCATATCGGATGATCCAGCATGATCCAGCTACAAGAAAAAAACAAATTCAAAATTCACATGATACGCAGACTTGAAGTCAATCTATAGCCTCACAGAAACAAAATCTTGTCTTGTTGCAGTTTGGTAATGCTAATTTTTGACATTCTCTGAATGTATGATCAATATGCCATATAAGGACAGCGACCTGTAATGGACTACAGACTCGAATCGAGAGCCAAATTTAAATTACAGAAGCATAGCTGGTTTAACAAAGATATCTTATCATATCACATAGAGAGAAACGTTTCCACTAATCTCTTAAATGTTCGTCATCAAAAGAACCACACTATTTGTTTTTCCTTATTTTGCCCACGCACATATATAATTAGATTCTTTTATTTGTTTATAAAATATGGTACGAAGCTTGGAATTGCTGAAGGAAAATAAAATCTTGATATATTCTTAATTATTATCTACAAGCGAACATTGCCCATATGTTCATATATTAATAATTTATGTGTGACAAATAGAAAAAATTCGAATTAACATATTTATGATTAATATTGCTATTATTATTACTATTATTATAATTATTATTATTAATATAATTGTTATTTTTATTACTTTTATTATTAGAATATTTTTCTTATTATAATTCTTATTGTTAAAGAAGTTGTAACTGCTTACAGGGTATCTCGTAGCCGAAAGCAACCTATCCACTCGAGAATTCTTGTTCTTCTTTTGCGGATTTTCTCATCCGCTCCTATCTCTCAATCCATCGCCCATTTTCGACTTGAACTCGTCATAAATTTTAATACACATTTTGGTTTGCAAATTGCTCAAAAGATGCATTTCTCGCGGTCTACGTCTCTCTCTGTCCCTCATCCTCGCTTTTATTTTCCCTCTCATTATCTCTCTCTCTCTCCTTTTCTCTATCTATCTCTGTCTGGTACTGCTTGCCTGTTGTCCTTTTGCAGCAGCAGCAACCACAACAGCAGCGACAACTGTGACGAGCCCGTCAACTTTTGATTGACTGGCTAAGTTCAACTGATGTGGCTCTTGGGTCTTAGCTCTTGTCTCCTTCCCTTGGACCGCTCCACGCATTGGCATAGAACGGCAGCAAATTGCATAATTTTTACATAAATATGCTGACGTGCATTCATAATCATAAAAAGGGTTAAAATTCTTTGTTTTCTTGTTGGCTTTTGTTTGGGCTCCGCCTGTCTCTCGGCAAGCGCTGGTGAGTACTCGTATTTTGTTGGACTGTTATTTATTTGGCCTCATGCCTGCATATATATATTCTTTAATATGCAGCCTAATAGGCATTCCCTTGGATTTTTCCCTTTTTTTTTTTACTCTATTCCCGCGCCCGAAATGACAAAATGTATGCAAAGTTAAAACAGCAACAAAAGGGCAACAGCATAGTGCATAAAATATTTATGATATCGAATTGTATTGGCATTATTTTCAGCTTCAATGCCAGCTTATAAGTCGACAACTAATGTACATGAATTACGAATGCGTGCAAATTCAGACATTTTGTAGATATTTTGTAGCCACTGCCTCTACAGGTGCAAGTCAAGGGTATCGAGCATTTTTTTTCCATCGAATCAGCTTGCTTTCCGGAATTCAAAGTCATGAAATATGTATAGGTTTTTTTCTTGTGCATCATTCTATTTAACTTCAAGTCGACCAATTCAAAAGAGTATTTCATATACATATTCATATATCGTATTTGTATTTTTTTTTTTCTCAATGTATCTTATCAATGGTTGAATTTAAAAGTATTTTATAGATTTTCACTTTAATCTAAAGCATATACTTGTGTACTACTTTCAGCCCCACCGATCCACCCACATGCCTCTTTCTATATGTTCATACATAAGCGCACATTTGGACAGTAAAAAGCAACGAGCTGTGTGAGTCAATTGCATGCAAAACTGTGCCATTGTCAGACGCCGCTACTGGAACAAAAGGGGTAAGTAGAAGGTGGTGAGTAGGCTGAGGCCAGGCCGTGACTGTGTGTGACGACCTATGGCCGCACAAAGGGTAACAATGCTGCGCGGCCGACAAACAAGGGCAACCACAAAATGGCCACCACAACGGCAGCAGAGTTGGCTATAAACGACATGCGGGTCAAAAGGACGCCCACACAACAGCAGCTACAGCAGCCGCAGCAGCTGCCTGGTCATAAGGATGATGGCGACAACTTCACGCACAGGCAGCAGCACAGGCCAACGGGCAGGCTGTGAAGGCGCGCCCTACGACTTGCCTGCAGCTCGTGTGGTTGATGCTGCTGTTGCTGCTGCCTAGAAAATGTCGTTATAAATGGCAGTCATAATAAGTGGGTTAAATGCCCAGACGCCCTGCCGCACTGGGTCTTTGGGCCAGTTGTTAAGTGGCAAGCTGAGCAGGGAGCGGTAGTCGGAGGCTGGTCATGTGTTGATTCGCTGTTGATTTTGTCGTGTGTCTTGTGCAAAACTAATTACCGATAGTTCAAGGGGTCACCTGCCCATTGAAGACTCTTTAAACTGCAATTAAATGCCACTTGGATGTTGGCCAAGGCGTCGGCGTCGGCCTGGCCAGAACTGAAGCGATTATAAAGCAATCACGTGGCTGTCCCTGTGGCTGTGCCCGATGCCCTGCTTCGCCAAAACTGGCAGCCACATTCACATCATTTGCAAAATCATAATTCGCGTGTTAAGCGCGCATTAGTCTCACGTTGATTTATCACAGCAGGTACCATGGAAACAGCTATAGAAACTGGGTCTGGGTCTGGGTCTGGGTCGGAGCTGGTAACTGGGTCCTTGCGCTCACTCTCTCTTTATCTCCCTCTCTGGTCCAGAGGCGAGAAATAAATTGGGATCGCTGGCTGCACATTGTGGTATGCGGTTTTAATAACCGAATTCGCAGCTAATTTCAAGCTGAAAGTTTAGTTGGACAATGCCAGAGGCGTGTGGGTGCGGCATGTATTGGAGATGGGAGCGTGAGCTGTTTAGTATTTGTTATTCATCTAATTGAGATTATATTGGAGAGGCAAATCGTTGGATAGCATCAGGTAACAATTCCTTATTATTGGCTAAAAATTTTCTTGAAGAGGATAAATTGACTCACGCGTCTGCCTTAAGTCGCAGCTCACGCCATGCAACATCACTCGCCACAAGGCTCATCTCTAAGTGGCATTCATCAAGAAGCGCCTCTTGAGCACACACAACTACCATGCCTTCCGACACTCGACCAGCTGCGCATTCGTTAAGCCAACGACTTGATTTTCGGCTGCTCCAGTGGTTGCGGGTTGGCGGCGCTGCAAAGTGGAGCAAATTTATGCCCAATTTCATGCGAGTGGCAAATGATTTATGCGACAGCGCGTTGCAATTGCCAAAAAGGATATGTGCGTTGATTTCGTTTGGCCTCAGGACAAATAACTTCATTATGTTGTCCTCTCGCTCGCGCTCCTTCTCCTTCTTAGGCGCCCCGCCCCCACTCAGCTGGATAGGTTGCCCCCTTTGGTAATGATGTTTCATGTTGTTGTTGATGTTGTTTGGAATTGGGATTGGGTTTGGATTTGAGGATTGTAAAATATATGCAAGGCAAATCGCACGATTCTCGTGATGTTGCTCATATTTGGGCACCGTAACAAGCGAGGCAACACGTGACAACAACAACAACAACAGTGGCAGCAGCAGCAACTAGCTAAGACACACACAAACAGCGACAACGCGCGAAAATCGCATTCTACTTATGGCGTGAATTTCGCGATCGTCTTCTTAGCTTTTTGCCTTGGCACTTGGCACAACCGAAATTCGATTCAAATTCCCAAATTCAAATTTAAATGCAACAGCAGCAACAACAACAACATCAACAGCTAGAATAACGCCAACAACCACATACAAATCGAGATGCACAGAGCCCACCAAACTGTTGGCTAGAAATTGGCAGGAAGTCACGCCATTTGAACCATTTGTTTGTTAACAATAAACCGTTAGTAACATGACGCTGATTACACATGCATCCATAGTAAATGACAACATTTATCATTAGGCCAGCTAAAAACAGCAACAGCAAATGCAACAGCAGTGGGCAGCAAGCAGCATTAAGCAGGACAATTTGCCGTTAATTGCAAATGCAGATGCAAATTTGATTCAGTCCAGCATCAAAAACATTAACAACAACCCATAAAAGAACTTAAATTCGTCGGCAAATGTCGGCTTATGGGATTTCATTGACAGCTTCGCGATGCCACAGTCAAAATGTCCTTAAACCCAACGCCACGTTCTGGCACAGGCAACAGGAATATCTTGTTGTGGCTGCTGCTGCTGCTGCTGTTGCTGGCAGCGAGTTGTTGCACGCACTTAATTAAGACGACAAGTGAACGACCTCAGCTGTCAGAAGGGTACGCGGAAAGGGCTTACAGCTGGTCCAGCAGGCTTTGCGCTCTGCACCAGAAATATTAAATATGGGCGACATGTTGCATGAGCCCTAACCAATGGCGGACGAGATGCGGAATAAGACGGCGTTGGAAATGGATAATACACTCGAAAAACAGAGCATATCACATAAAATCAAATTCGGAAAAATATCAAATATGTATAATTTACTCTTAAATGCCAAATCAGTCTAAAGAACAAACTAATACCTTGACATCGACCCGACCAATTTATGAGAATGGAATGCGGTCCATAAAAACAACACAAATCTTGTGGGGATCACAAGGGCTGAGCTTCCTTTCGTTTCCAATCGATCAGCGTGCGTAGCACTCTGCCAGCCATATCAAATAAAATATGTTTTGTGTATTAATAAAAGCCCGAAACGACTGCACTTCACACCTCATTGAGATTGGCCATAAAGATGCCTTAATAACTCAGCTAAGCTGGAGACTAGCAGCGCGCTTTTGGCCGAATGGAGCTGAGTTCCTGCGTGCTGCTGCCTGTTCCCTGCTGCTGCAGTCTTGGCTGTCAGTATCGTTTATGGCTGCCCATATTTAATTTGCCGCTTCGCTCGATGGCCAATTGAAGCGTTTCGATAAGGGGCCAAATTCATAAATATGAAAATGGCTTCATTTCGCGCGCGATTCGGACTGAACGCGACTGGATTGGACTGGACTGGACTGCGACTTGGACTTCGGCTTGGGAGTTGCCCTTCATATCGCTTAAATTAAAACTTAAATTTCAACACTCGTTGCTTGCGATACGGGACCATATTTTACGGGCCAAAGCAAACACAATAACAACAACAACGAAAGCAACTCAACTCAGTGGCAGGCTGACAATGGGAAAGGCGTTGCAGCTTTATCTGACAAATGCGCGTATATCTCGAAAGTTGTTGCTGCCGAAATGAGCAGCGGCAGCAGCAGCAACAGCAGCAGAAATAACAGCAGCTCAAACCAACTGACCCTCACATTCATTTATCAATGCTGTAGAATGTGTCGCCGTGGCAAGGAAGAAAGTGGCTGCCAAAAGCCGCACCTCTAACAACGGCTGCTGCTTTTGCCGTTGCTCCCGTGACCATTCAGCCAGTCAGCCAGCGATCGTTGTTGGTAATAGAACTAACTGAGTGCCGCCTTGTCTTGATCTACCGCCGTCCAGTTTGGAAGACGACGATGACGACGCCAGCTACTTCATCATCATCTGAAACGTGCGGCGCGTAGTCATGGGCTGACATTTTTGAGTTGCCGTCGTTGTCTATGTCTGGCCCAACGGCAGCAAAAAGGTAGCAACATCAACAACACACAACAGCAACAGCAAACACATCAAGAGCACACAATAACAAACAAAAACGGCAGCGAAGCCTCCCAATGATTAATTGACTTTCAAAATTGCTGAAATTTTTAATTTATTATACGCGCCAAAGTGATTAATCAGTAGACAAAGCTGCGGCCAAGCACAAGGTAGAGGGAGCAGGGCAGGTTAGCGAGGCTACAACTGCTGCCCAGCCAAAAGGTAACAGCAGCAGCAACAACAAACTGTCTTGGCAGTACACGTAGGCAGCGACTGTGGCTACGAGATTGAAAGTGCTGGGCAGCAGCCAGCAGCAACAACAATTGCCAGTGCTTGTTGTTGTTGTGTTTTTTATGTCACTGGCAATCCTTTGAGCGCATCAGTCAGCGTCACCTTCGTTTAATGCTTTTAATTGCCGCCACTGTTGCTGGCTGCTTCTGTTGATGTTGTTGCCTTTACAACATGTGGCAGTCACATTAAGGAAGATAATTCAAAAGGGTTTGCTTAGATAATTTTACTTAGAATGCAATTTAAACATATTTAGGGAATTTGCTTAGCAAAGCGCAGGCTGCCGCTTAGGCCACAAATGAGGCGTAGTTAAACTTTACAACTTCAGCCACGCCCATTGGCCTAGTTCAAGTCAGGGCCCTTAACTTGAGGTGTACGTGTGTATTAATTAAAGCCCAGAAAAAACAAAGGAAACATAAATTTTCCAATAAGACACTTTCCTTGTGGCCGCAAAAAACGCACTGCGGGGCTGTCAAAAGCTGAAGCACAGACAGAGCCCGAGTCGAAGTCAAACCCAGAACCAGAACCGTTAGTTAGCATTTTGAGTGGTTGTGCGTTCCGTGGCTTTTGATGTTCGGCGCACAGACACATTAACATAAATATGAGCGAAAGATAACTGAGGAACACACCCATCGTCCCAAAGTTGAGGAATGGAAAATGCTGTTGCCAAAAGAAAAACTTTAGCCAAGGCTCATTGACGTGCGTTAGGCAAGAGAGAGAGCATAAGAGGGAGCGAGACGGGGACAGAGACAAAGAGAGAAAGAGATTGGGAGGGAGAGAGAAAGAAAGTGACAGCGGGGCAATGGGCGGGCGTGTATCAGGGGCGTGCCCTGTTGCATCTGGCAAGGCAAAAAAATCTCAATAGATGATCGTAAACACAATTACGTTTTGCGGTCAGAGCAACAACAATAACAACAACAGCCAAGAAGTGGGTGTGCCACAACTGCAAACATGCCGGCAACATATTTGACGCATCGCTGGCAACATTCAAATGGTGCAACAGCAACTTAAAGATGTGGCAGGCAGCATAGCATAGAGCTTGGCAATCAAATGAAGCACCCAGCTTCACATGCTGTTGCTGCAGCTGATGATGATAACCATGTTGCTGTTGCTGTTGCTGATGAGTTGGACAATATCAAGGCTTGTTGCTGTTGTTGATGGGCCAATGTTTCGGTCAGTTGCCATAACGAATCGCAATGCAGTACAGTGCAGGCAACACATTAAGGGTTGTCTTCCCAGACGCAGTC